TAAATGCTACTCGATGTACTACTTACCAAACTGTACTGTCTTTTTGTAATTTTTTCATTTTTTTTTTACTGATATGCTGCCAATTTCTTTTCACCTTGCTCTTCTTTCCACTCCATTTCAACCCATGCTTTTCCCAATATCCTTCTGAAATATTAGAATTCTGAAGTTCTACAATGATTATCTGCCTAATAAAATCAACTACATTCGTTTCAGTCGCCAGTTTCATCAACTACGTTCGTTTGATGGGATTGAAAAAAGCTTCACAAAGCATTATGCGGCAGTGTGCAGGTATCAGTCCCTGGGCTGCTGGAAAATCGATCAATGACATTGCCTGTTATCGCGTTCACCATCGCCCATCGCGTTCACCGTCGCCCATCGCGTTCATCACATTTGGTTAGTCAGCGGTGGTGAAAGGATGTTTGAGGTTCTTATTTTCAAGCGTTAATAATGTATTAACTCAGAATATGCTTTCTCACGAACTCTTGCTTGCCATGAAAACGTTTGCGGTTGCATGCAAACACAGTAGTAACTTCAACATGTTGAATAATTGCTCATTTTTATGTTACGTTTGCGAATCTCAGCAATTCGTGTAGCCGATGAATTCGAGGCCCCTTGAGCACATCATAGCAATCGGTTATTCGGTTATAAAATTTGTTACTTTCTTCACACGGATTGAAAAATTCTTAATTTTCATATTAGTTATCCCTTTTCTTTTCGTACAAGAAGTTACTATTTATCTTGCCCGAATGTATATACACTTGTGCCCGAAATTATTCATACCCCTTGAGAAATATAATAAAATTCCAATTTTAATAAACAAAATAAATCATTTACAACTTATCATTTACATAATTATGTAAAACAAATTTAATGCTAGAAAATATGTATATAATAACTTTCGATAGTAATTACTTTGAATTTTTTGAGTAACTAACCGTTCAGAATTATTCGTACCCTCTTATTCCAGATCATTTATCATAATATTTTAGAAGAACTATTAATGAAAATTGTAGTAGATACACAATAATTGTATTTCCAAATTTGGTGTTACTAAGCATTGTAATATTTTTCTCTGCAAAGTTTGAAAATATCTTATTTTTTACAATTTAGGAAAAAGCTAAAATTTTGCTAAAAGTTTGAAGATGTCAAAGAAAAAAGAGCTTAGTAATGATCTCGGAAGCAAAATTATCAATACCCGCAAAGAATAGATGAGATATAAAGCAATATCTAAGAATTTTGATGTTCCTACGTCTACAACACAGAGCATTATAAACAAAATTCGAATCATTAATCACGGTGGATAATATGGTTGGTCGAGGAAGGAAAGGAAAAATCACCCCTAGATGTGCTAGAAATATGATACGCTCCATTTGCAACAATTATAGGATCACTAGTATGGAAATTCTATCAAATTTGGATGCTTTTGATATGAAGGTATCAAGACAAATGTCGAAACAAACAAAGGTATCAAGACAAATGTCGCATTGCAAATAACAATGCGTCGAAACGGGCTGAAGGGTTGTCGACCCAGGAAAACGTCTTTGCTAACAGAAAAGCATGTGAAAGCACGCCAGAAGTTTCCTAAAACTCCTGTCGATTCCCAAACCTCATTTTTCTCCAAGATTTTGTGGAGAGATGAGACTAAATTTGAATTATTCGGGCATATGAATGTTGTTGGGGACTATTCAATAAATAAGCATTCTAACCCCAAACACGTGGCCAATGATCGCAATTAAAGGATGAAGAAAAACTGATAAATCAAGAAATATAATAACAAATGAAAGACAAATACAAGAAAACAAATATCAAAACTATAAACCGCGTGTCTTTCTGGCTCTTGCCCACTAATTCCTAATCACGTCCTAAGTTCGGAGCCCCGCTCTGTGGTGGATCTCATAGCAATGACAATTAAGTTACAGGGCGGGTCTAAACGAGGTCACGTAATAGTTACTCAAAACAAAAATGACAAAATCCGTAACCTAACTATCGATAAAATTATTATATTTACAGGCTGTCCCTAACAATGTTGCTTACGCTTGGCGAAAAAAAGGTGAGGCTCATAATCCCAAGAACACAACCCCACAGTTAAACATGGCGGTGGGAATCTTATCTTATGGGGTTCATTTTCTGCCAGGAGACCTGGAAGTCTGAGACAAGTAATCGGGATCATGTAAAAAGAACAATATTTTGATATCAAAAATAACATCAAGCAGGATGCAGATAGTTTTTTTCTTGGTTCTGATTGGATTCTTCAGCAGGATAATAATTCGAAGCTCACATAGAAAATAGTCAAGAAGTGGTTCAAGGATTCTCACATCAATGTCACGGAATGGACTAGTCGACGTCCCTATCTCAATCCAATTGAAAATTTGTGGCGCGTACTGACAATAGAGATGAAGAAGAGACAACCTAAAAATTTGAAAGAATTGAAACAGTATGCCTTGTAAGAATGGACAAAACTTGGCGTCGATACATGCAGGAACCTTGTTGACCATTACCCAAAGCGTTACCCAACAAGTTATCATGAGTAAAAAGGCCATCACATTCACTATTGATTCATGGTACGAATAAATTTGGTCATGAGACAGTTTTATGTTTCCTTTGAATCTCTTTACAAAACTGAAAAAATAATGTTTTTGGTTTCTAAATACATGTTATATGCTTCATAAATGGTTTACATCTGCTTTAAAGTTTTACATAATTATTTTTTGGTCTATTTCTCGTAATTTGTCGAAATGACGTTAGGGTATGAATAATTTCGGGCACAAGTGTAGCTGGTGCCTATCAGTCAGTCAATTATGAATTGAAAAGACGTTGCGCATTGAAATTCTTTACTTTAGTTCCTTGGAGTTGTCCGCAGCGATGCCCGTATTATTTCATCAGGTTCATTTAACTCAATATTCTTCTACTTATTTTACTCGTATCACCTCTTTTCAGAGAATAAATTATCTATTAAGTGGTTCAAAAGATGATAACTGTATCAAGACTCTGAACTTTGCTGTTCTCAGAACCCCTGTAATTTCTCGAGCGAATTCTGAAGCGCTGGGTAACTGTTTCTGATTTTTTTTTAATTTGGTAAGGACTTACATATATTAACTTATGTGTTATACCAGAATCAATCCTGCAACTATTTAATAAATTATATATGTAGAAAAATATATGAAATATAAATGAAAAATTTCCAATTTCAGGTCACTGCCGTGCCATGTATTATGCCAGCAAATGATTTGGAAATAGATGTGCCTGTAGAACTTAAGGAGCCACTTCTAAAAAAATGTTGCAATAGTTTATCGTTGATACTTTTTCTGTAAAGTAGGGGAAAACTTGTTTGAAAATTAAAAACAGAAAAAGTGAACAAGTATAGAACCCTGAAAATCAAAGGAAAATTTTAAAATATCCTTGATACTTAAACAGTTCATTTCCCACCAGAGTACAAAGTATACACAAAATATTGGCCAATAGTTTATATTTGTTTTTCAGCAAATATTAAAAAAAAACTTCCTCATATAAGCCTCGAAGCTCCTTTTCAACAATGTTTGAATACCAAAATGAAAAGTGCAAATTAACCTATTTTCTTGAAACAGCATTCCTTCGAGAGGTGAAATACTTTACAGCGACATTTATAAATTCTACCAATTGGTTATTACCTGGATGGAAGAAAAAATTAGTCTAAAAATTTCTTTTAGATGCTTATTATTTAACAGCTATGGAATGATGAGCGGCCTTTTTAAAGCAAATTCTGCAATGCAAAACGCAGTAGAAGGCTATTTTTGCTGTCCTTTGGAATTTATGTTTTGATTATAATCATTTCATCTGTAATTATATGCAGATTACTTTTTGCATCTGTTAAAAGTCATCAAAATAATCAACTGCGCAAACAGTTGTCAACTTCCCAAAGCAGAACGTTAAATATTTTGTAGAATACATTGTTATATGGGAATTGTGTGACCACCAATTATAATTGATGCCTCAATCATCTATGTACCTGTCATCTAAAAAACACTCATCGCTTTTTTTCTATAACTAATGAATAGATAATCTAAGCGCTGGGTAATTTATATCAAGACGTGAGCATTTTGCTACTGCGTTTGTTCAATACTTTACAGTCTTTGGTAGACGGCGGGATGGCCGTCAAATTAATAACATTTATAGTAAATGAAGAAACGGATGTAGTTCTCCGGTTCTTTTGCTGGGGGTGATTTAGGTTTTAAACATGGAAATGCTTTCGTGCAGGATGCATTTGGCAATTGTTGTTTCTGTTATCATAATTCGTTGGCGTGGGGTGCATGTAGTATAGGCATGCATGTTAGTGGTCTCGAGTGAATGGACTTTTTTGATAAAATGCGATTAGCGTATGAATTGTGATGAGATGACGACGAATATTGATGAATTTTCTCGAAAAACTTAGTTTCGGTAGTGAGGAGCAATGCTCGGAGTACCGGGCTCCCAATGACGACCTCAGCGAGCTCGGGAGCCACAGGTCCCCACTCGATCATGAGTGCGGCACATATGACATGTATAAAATTTATAAATGAATTATTTATAAGGCACTTGCAGAAATTAGGCATATATTGAATTCCAATATTAAGGTAAAATAACTTTTTTATGATACAATTTAAATTTCGTGATCTTTACGAGCAAATCATGCCACGGCGCAGCGGTAGTGAGCACCGGAGAAGTAGTAGAGCAATTGCACTCGAACTCCGTTGGAGTTTTAAAGAGCGTAAATAGGTCCGATTTTTTATCTTCTTATCATTGACGTCGAGTTTTCAATATGAAGCATGTTCATTTGGAAATAGGATATATAGTTAATTCAATGCCTGCATATATTTACTTTATCAGTTGTAACGGTTCACTGCCACCATATTAGGAATATTATTTTACAAGGCTCATAAAGCCTCTCGCAGATGAATATTAATTAATCATCTGCATTAGGCAATTTCAATTAGAGATAATATTATCTCTCGCATTCACGTCCTTAACAGATAAGATTAGTTGGTTTGATGCTGTAAGTTTGATGCTGGTTGCGGCGGAGAGCAACAGTACCCTGGCATATTTTGTTACCCAACGATTGTTATCAGTGAGAAGTCTTGTTGATCAGTCAGTCTTGATCTTGCATTAAAGTTTCACTCTCCTATTCCACGGACAGTAAACATCGCGATGATGGAAAAACGGTAAGTAATTTTTTTACATTAAATTGACTAGAATTGACGTAACTATTTGATTTTCAAACGTTCATTTGAGGTGACACTAAACTGAAGCAGCTTAAAACCTCACACAGCGTTGAGTAAAATCACCTTTTCGAAAATAAAATGTAGCCCCAAAAAAACATATTTACTTAAGCTTCGAGAGAAAAGTGAATTCGAGAAGTTAAATGACCTCCCATTATTTGTAAAATTTAATTCATATCTCACATATTTGAAAATTACAGTCAGCACTAGTCCCAGAGGGCTGAATGGGAAATGAGAACAACTTGAGACATCTCAAGAGTCAAAAACTAATATCCATCACATGCTAGGAAAATTTGATGCATTTAAATTGAATAAATAGATATATATACAATTATACATCTCGTTACAGAAACTAATGTATATAAATACGCTATGCTTAGTGTTTATTTATTAGTATTTTTTTCAATCCTTTATCGAAATTAAGTTCAAATTTTTGCCTCTCTCCTTCTTTCTCTCATCCTCTCATCGATTCAGAAAAACGTACCATCGTAATCTTCCTAACCATACTCAACACCTCACATCACCAAGTTCAAAATTCAAACCGATCACACTATTAATTAATTAAACATTCACGAGAAGCTCTTAGATAACTCACTAATACTAACACATCAACGTTCACAAAACTTTCAATACACGACATCGCGGTTTCAGTAGAGAGGACAAATAAAGCATTAGCCGCATTCGACGAAACCATAGCTTTGCTCCTAGCACAACAAACTACAGACATATCTCTGCGATGTGACCAAAGCTTTTGACAAGCCTTGGAACACCAGACTTAATACACTACAACTCAAACATCAAACGTCCTCTACAAAAACACTGGCATACTACCCTCACAGACAACATCAATCTAAAATGACAATCCCAAAACCTCTACACACTATATCCAAAGCATCCATATCCGAACAGCAGAAAATCCTGGTCAGAGTACTAAGATTGAACACAAACACACACTGGTCAGACTTCGTACCTCCACAAGCCCTTCACGTACAATACAACATTCCCATGATAAACACAGTCCTCCATAAACAAACTCGCAAAACATGACCCACCATCATCAAAACATATGGCCCAAGTTCTTCAATCAACTCGCATTTCCTCCAGACGCCATAGCAAAACGACACCGACTATTCTGTAGTTCCTAAATACGAGCCAGGGATGGCAGATGGACCTTTTTTCTGGGCAAATTCGTCGATACAGCGTTTAAATATAGCGTCGCGGATGAAGTTGGAAGAAAGTTTGAGTCTACTTGGTATAACTTGGCTTAATATCTCATAATTGATACTTACTACTCATTATTGATGTAACATGCTTACTTTTCCGAAGTTGGACATTAAAGTCAAATTATGCTGAGATCACATTTTGTATATTTTTAAGCGATTTTGTAGCAACTCAATTTGAGGTTTTGCAGCAACGCCTTTGTTTTAACACGTTGACTCCGGAATGGTGCATATGCATACCCCGAATTGTATTTATCCAGGACGTTGCGGTACAAAATTCAGGGTTTTCAGATGGCCAAAAAAATGGTCAAGTCCGCGAACAAAATTGGCCTATAACTCAATATATGCTGGTATATTTGTAGGTTCCGGTGTAAAAGTTAAATTTATTCATTATAGATTTTTAAAATTTAATTAGGAAGTAAATTTTAGCCGGCCAACGCTGTTGAAAAAAAAACTGAATCGCGGAATTGGTATGGAAAAAAACGTCTGTCAACCCTGTTTCAAAATAGTACAATAAATAAAATATAGTACAAAATGCCTAGTACATGATGAAGCAATCGAAGTCAACGTGTTAAAAGGATTTATTTGGCTGGTTTCCAGATGAAAACTCATAGAGGATCGCGAATTTCGGATAGAGCGCTTTTTTGTTCCCTTATACTTTAAACGTGTTTAGCTAAGAAATCTGAGCTCAGATACTTGGGTACTTTATCTGAAATTTCAGAGAATTATTTCAGTTATAGGTGCACGTGATGTTAGTATAACTTGTCTTACAGAATTTCCATTTACTTATATCAGGTTCGGCATCCACGCTTCAAAAACATCTTTTCTTTGCCTGCTCTGCATTGTCTCCATCATCTTTTGGATGATTTTGAAGACAGCTAGGAACGATAGTAAGTCAGATTTGAGTTTCTTCAGAAGTAACGAATGTATGAAAAATGTTTGTCAAAAATAAAGGAATTACTCCATTGTGAATTCGATGACCAAGCATTTTTATTATATTTTTTCCGACAGCGGAGTTGGTTACAACCACGCTCTCGGCTGAAGTTCTGCGCTCCCTCAACTGCCCTGAGCCCCAGGCTGGTGATCAGGTCTCCTTCGCCATAGCAGACGTGATGAGTGGTAGAGCCATACTCAAACAACACGAACCTAAGCTCATTGAGGTTAGATAAATATAAAGAGAAGATTTCCATTTATTGCAGTTTACATTGGTTGTAAGTTACTGAGGTGGCCAGAAAATTTAAATTTATTAACTTTTAATGTGACGCAATGTCACTATGATCAATACTAGCTTTCATAGACAATTGGCATAACCTTGATTTTTCCTTGAGATACTAATATTTGCAGTGTCAAATGATCAACAAGAAGTTAATAGTACATTCATTTATTGCTAACTGTTTTTATTGAGTGCACGAATTATCGCTTTGTATTCAACTTCAGATAATACGCACCAAATACTTGAAACCACCTTCGCTCAAGCCTTACCAGCTCTTAACGGGAAAGGACAACCCCTCCCAAGTGGGGCAACCTACAGAAATCTTGAAGATCCTGGGGCGAATTGTGAGTAATTAATGATTCGGATGCATTAATGAAGAAAAGGTTACGGTCATGTACTGGTACCTTTGTCATTTTGGTTCACCCACTTTATATTTTAATCTGGCTGTTCCTATTAATTCATTATAATAGATGACAATCCATCACTTTTCATATCCATTCAGACCAAGATATTTTCATGCATATAACTACTAAAATTTAACGTTTTGGAAATTTTTCCGTTTAACTATGGGAATCGTGAGTGCCTACGTTCTTTCTGTTTCAAATGAAATGGAAAGAAGGGAATTCCGTTTTTTTCGGTTCCTATTATGATCGATAAGCTTTAACATCAACGTACGGATTTAATTATTGTATGATAATTATTCATAGTAAGCATGTTTAACGCACAAATCTATTTCAAGGTAACCTGTGGGGTAAAGTTGGGAACTCTTGAGGTGGGCAAGGGGAAAGGAAGCGGGAGAGGGGAGATGAGCAAATGATACTGGGCCTAAAAGGCTACTGCCTGGGACAAGACGCTCTGACAGCGTCTTGACAAGGCGCTGTCTTTGACAAGACAAAGCGAGAAATCCGAGAGATCCGTTTGGGCACCTCGATCCGTACTCTATAGAAGAGTCCGACCCTGAAAAAGTAGGACACAACTTAGTGGTGATGGAGCGGTGCCAAAGCGTAACAATGGACAAGAGATGGCACAGGGCCGCTAGGAAGAGGGAGGAGAAATGAAAAAAGAGAAAATAAGCTGAAAACTACGCATAGCGCATGACTTGGTTGAGTGTAGGGGGTGTGGAGTTGTGGTTGAGGAGGGAGTGGAACCCGTTCGGGCTGTTCAGGGCTTGCAGGAGGAGTGAGGAACGGTTATTCTTCATTATTTACGTATTAAAATAGGTTCTAAAATGAAGAAATATACACCATATACATGTGTTTTGCTTTTTTATATTTTTCTCAACGTTCTGTAACTTTTTTACGTAGGGTCGCTCAGTGCCCGGGGTGCAACAGGGTGCTGTCGGTCGCCAATATGGCGAGGCACCAGAGGGCGTGCCTGGTTGGGACCCTGGGGGGGGGCAAGTCCCTGACGGGGATCGACGGCCCGGAAATGGAAATGGAAAATGGATCGAGACTCGAAGGGAGGCTGGGGGGAGGGTCAGTTTGTTTGGTTTGCACTAAGTTTTCAGTCTCGTCTTTCTGGGTGTCACTCTATGTGACTGTAAGTCCGTCAGCGGGATTGGGCCACTTCGCCTGATAGCAATTGCTGACACCTGCCGACACGACGAAGCGGGCCGACGATATATTGGATGACTTTGTGTGTGTTGTTTTGGACCAGCTACACTCAGACGCGATTGCTACAACTTATATTTATGAGTAGCATGGTCCGTAATTGTGTAGGCGTTGTCGGGAACTTAAATATACAGGAGTGGGGAATTGTGATATGAAACTTTTAAATAATTTAGGCGATCTTGCATTAATTCGTATTGGGAAAGTTGGTTGATTGAAGAGTTGTGGTCGGTCATGTTTTGATAGTGGACCAGGTTTTTTATGGTGGAGACCCAGCTTTACGTGCTCCGTAGAGTCTCGTATCTTTCGTATCTTATGCAGGTTTGTGAGGTCTATTGCTTTCCTGGATGTTATCAGAGATTTGAAACCGTGTGTTGTGAATTTTATGCTTAAAACTGTCCTCATGTTTTTGTAAGGGTTGTGAGTGTATATGAAGATATTGGCGATAGCTCGTTTACTGATTGGGTTGATTTTAAACTTGTTTGTGATCGTCGTTATAAGCTATTTCTTTTCTAATTTGACCATATTACAGCCTTAATTACCCGAGGTATAGATTTATACAAATTTTTAATTGTTTCCATGCGAATTTAACCTATTCTTCAGTTAAAACTCCCTCCAGCCCTTTAAAAGACGATGGCAGCGGGATTCGACTTCTGACTTGCATCCGTAAAATCGAACACAAATTCTCGATAATATTCCGGTTTGGTGATTGTGGTGGCCAAATAAAATGCTCAATGTCAATAGACTGTTACTCGTGCTATTTTATAACAGTTCCTGCTGTATGAATCGGGTATTATCAGCCGGGTAATCGGGTAATTTTATCAGCCGTGGTCTTTCGTTTGTTCCTCAAAATTCGATTTAGAGCCCGACGGCCTCTCTCAGACAACTTCGACTTTCGGCCAGAGCTATGCTTTACTGAGGACGTACTTCCTTCTCTTTCAAAAGCAGTCATTACTTTTGAGGCAGTACTTCTAAAACGTCAAGCATTCGGAAACTTTCTGTCACACCAGCACCTGTCATACGGGCACCAACAATTTGGTTTCTTTGAAAATCAGAGTAGTTTGCCACTTGTAAGTTAGAGGGTAGGTAATAGACACAAAAAATTACTAAAAATATTTGTGCAAGGTTAAAAATATCTATTTGCAGCAACAATAAACAATAAAAAACAAAAATATGTCTCATTTTCTTTGTTTATAACTTCTTAAAAAATCACGATATCGAAATGTCAGGTATTTCCCTTCTTTTGTATTACCTTTGTATATATTACCTTCCCTCGTATGATGATCACTAAAAATACGTAAATGTCTCAGACAACATCGATGACCGATTATAAATGTATGCATCTACGAGCACATCCTGATTTTGCCGTAATTATGCTACAGGTTTCAACTATTTTGATTTTTAATTTTCTGATTGCCCTGCAAGACCATTCTTTAGTATAGAAAGGTCGTCACAATAATTTATTATCCAGTGTGTATCAGTTCATAAACATTTCAACTGGCGCTACCTGGCAAATAACATATAGCGCTCCCGTCTTTAATAAATTTGTTCTGATGGCTTGAGTATGCTTGACTGTTTTGATAGAGGGACGGTTTCTTCATCGAAAGTGGGGCTTTTGACGGCGAGGTTTACTCTAATTCGCTCGTCCTCGAGAAGACCCTGGGCTGGCGAGGCCTATTGGTGGAAGGCGACCCCAAGAACTACGATTTGCTTCTGCAGAAAAACAGGAAGGCCTGGTCTGTAGGTGCCTGTCTCAGCACCAAGCCATATCCTCATTCCGTGAGATATTCAATTAACATTATTTTTCTCAGGCACTACCGTCGTTTGGTAGTTAGAATAGGTTACTTATTAACAGCAAAAATGGCTTAAAAACCTCCAGAGTTTATTATGCTACTATGTTTATTAAGGACGCTTTTCCTCCCCGTTGTTTCCATATGTGGTCAATTTAGAATGCTTGCGTCCAATAATATTTTTCTTTTTTCGAGAAAAGAAGACTTGTGTGAGAGCAATCTGCATCTGACTGAACAATGTTTATTTTTTTAAAACAATTCTAAACTCACCTTTAAAAATAATTTATGTTCTTCAAGTTTATTGGAAGGAGTCTGCAGGCCGCGAGTGACATTCGGGTTTGTGGTCTATTAATTGCATGTTGACGTCGTAATCATCATAGAGGAAAATTGTGAATTAGATGTTGATGCCACCGTGTTACAATTAAATTCAGTGGCGCAAACATATAAATCAATAGATAAACAAGTGAATAGGCAGATGGGCTCCTTGTTTTAACCTAGACAATCGCATTCTGTTCCTCAAGGTGATGTTTAAACAAAGTGGCACCGTGGGTCAGATAAAAGGCGATGTGGACGATTCTGCCGCAAACAAGGATGGTGTCGTCGAAGTTCAGTGCCTGCCGATCTACTCCATCCTGTTGGCCCTCAACGTAACCACAGTGCACTACTTCAGCTTGGACGTCGAGGGTGTAGAGCTGGAGGTCCTTAAGACCATTCCATGGGATAAAGTGGATATACAGGTAAGGCTTTCTGAAGAACTATTCTATGTGAGTACTTATTTGAGAATGGTACGTGACTTGCCTGCTATCTTACTCAAATCCACTTTCTCAGACCAATAGTGGTATGCCCATATTTTTCTCTTTCGTTAAATCTCGCAGACACTCTCCGTGGAGAATTTACATGGCGCTTGGTCCAAAGCTGATCTCAAAAGCTTCATGGAACAACAAGGTTATTGGACGTACAACGATGTCGCCAAGTTCACAGCTGCAGCTTACGATTTCATATTCGTGAAGGACACCTTCAAAACAAAAGAAGATTATCTTTCTCAGATTGCATAATCAAAGCATTCCTAAGGCTGCTCACGTGCCTGGTTCCTAATGATGGGGCACGACGGTGATTGATAGGTTCAGCTTGAAAATTCGTCTTGTCAGCAGTTCCTGCTTTAACCTAACAGGAGTGACCGAGTGAGGTGAAAACAAGGAATCATGAGTTTAGGAACTATTTTTAAATAAAAATATTTTACTGCTTTGCTTGCGCTGATTACATGGTGCTATTAATTGCTTGTGCAATACTTTTGTTCTTTTGTGTGTTTAAATATAAACGGGTGTTTATAATTCTCCAGTGTTATAATTTGGGTGTTTAAATAGAGGACACTTATATGAATCTATTTTTGGTGCGTCATACGAAATAAGTGGGAATATCTTGTCAACTGATCTATATGTTATTGAATATGTCTTGTTTGAACGCCAGTCAAAACAGAACCGAAATGAAAAATTTCCGTAAATTATATAAATTATCACCTTGTTAATGCAGAAGTGGACCTGTATTTGGAAATTGGCTTGATCAATCCCATACGTCAAACAGGATGCAGTGTTAAAAAAGAATTGAAATCTCCTATTCAAAAAGAATAAATGAAATATATTTATGAGCAGAAAAGATGCTGTGTAAATTCACCATATCTTCACCAAAAATGCTGTGGAAATGAACTCCATCTTCAGCTCAAAACACTCAGATTGTGGCTGGTGCTATTATTGTGGCTGGTCTTAAATCTATAAATCTATATATCGATGAGTTTTAAGGCAAAAAAAGAAGTAAAATTATGTTGTAATTTTGAGAATTACGTTTTTGTATGTATAAAAATATCGGGTTTTATTAATTGATGTATAAAAAACTGGTACCGGAAGTATAACAAAAATGTTGAATTATGTCACACGAACTAGAAATTAGGAATGAAATCCGCTCTCCTTTTTCCAACTGTACAGAACTTTCACGCGACCTCCTTTTTCAGTGGAAGGAATGATTAAATTTCACCTAATTAATAATATACGGATAACATTTAAGAGATACTGAATTTATTAAATCGAAATAGTGTTAGGTGAACAAAATAAAACTTGAAAAAGTGAATTGGCCCGAGCTACTGCCCGGTGGGAGTCCTCTGAATCGGAGGAAGAGCTTAACCTGGCCCGCGCTAGCACAGCGAACCTCACGCGTTAAGTTCCGTGCGGTCTTTCCTGTTAAATAAATACCAACTGATTTGAATGAATTACATCCAATTTATCTAATAGAAAATTAGAAGAAACTGAATATTAGGGTCCAGAATATCGTCAAACGCTTTAATTTAAGGACTTGGCAGCTGTGCTATCAAGTGCCGACACTTTATTCTATTCAATTCCATTCCGATCTTAAAATTGCATAGTCATCATAAAATTAGAGACTTAATAAATTGGTTAACTAATTAATATATATTAAATTGAAAGAGAAAGAGGGTTGTATTCTTTGGGTCGAGAGTATTGGCGTGAAGACAGTTATACATAAATGGAAACCGGCCGGAGCTACAAGTTGCCATAACACCCTGAGCTTTATAATAATAATAATAAATAATAGCGGTTTCAGCGTTATTAGGCCGTAGGCCTGTCGCCGATTCTTAACATCGCAGAACATCCACAGCATTTTGCGGTCTCGAACTCGCAACTCACTGCAACAATTCTGCTATACTTAACCGCCCGGCCTCCTTGCCGACTCTGACCAGAAACTGGCGCACAGAGCTGGGATCGAACCCGCGCCTCTCTGCGCCAATCTTGGTGCTCTGAACTTTAACCACTGGGCCACCCTAGTGACGGGCAACCAACCTGCAGCATCCGGTCCTCTCCTCAGCTCTCGCAGAGACCCGTCCTCCGTGAGAAGACGAGCTGATGCCGCAGCCCCCAGATCGTCCCAACACCTCGAGGCCGCCACCTCAGACGAGACGCACGCTAGAGGTCTCACCCCAAATATGACCATGAAGCGGACGAAAAAGTGAAGATGTGGCGTCGTTGGCAGTAGTAAGAAATCTGACTGGTGGGCTGTCTCTGAACCGTGCTAATGCTGGAGTTAGCTTCAATTTTCATATTTGTATATGAAGAAATGACGAAGGTTGCCCACACAGAATTGCAAGAAATTTTGGGAATTGTAGCCGGCCAAATTAAATCAAGAACAACTCAAACTCAAATAATAATCATCTAACAACGGAAATTATCTTATGATAGATAAGAATTTATAGACCAACTGTTTCCTAGATTCTTCCGGTATCAAAACATCAAAGTAATGTACGTTCTTTATAAGCCTCGGTTTTTCCTTACTTAGCATCGAAGCAACGAAGTACCACATCGTTTAATTTTTCGCAGCTCTATCCAGTTAAAGCACAGCCAAACCGGTCTAGATTTCTGTTCTTATTTTAACTGGGGACTGAAGGTTAAACTGACTATTGCGACACGTTTTCGGAGGGATTTCCAACTATAAGTAAGCATTCGGCCGTAGTTAATGCATTTATAACATGTATTACTGGTTTAATACGTATATTGGAATTCAGCTTATATCACTGACTTGCCTAACAAAATTCGGGGACAGCCTAGGATTCGGCCGAATAGTTGTTACTCTCGGCGCAGAGTCATTCTGGGTCTGCTTGGCAACCCGACCGAAATCATTTTTTAACACGTTTTTCTTTACTCAGCTTCGCGTTTGTTTGTTTGTTGTTAACATTGACTACGAAAATTTGCCCACTTCTGATTGCTCTAGAGATCTGAAATTCGACATGCAGGCTATTTTCGCCTAACAATTTCAGATACAATCATAAAAACTAGCCATTAGAGACCTAAATTAGCTTAATTGAGTAAAGTATATATATATATATTTATATATAGTATATATATATACATTGTATGACGTGCGGGCGCTGACGTTATAGACGAGCAGGCGCTGACGCTCGTATCATCGATACGTACGTCGAGTCAAGTAAATTGGCTCGCAACAACGTTTTTCATGTGTAGCAACGGACTAAAAAGGAGAAAATAAAATACTTAAAAAAAAACTTGGGCGAGCCATAATTTATTTTCTACTTTTTAGTCCACAAGAAAAACGTGTTTTTTTTAAAAAGTTTTTTTAAGTATTTTATTTTAAAGTTTTTTTTAAGTATTTTATTTATTGTAGTTATGTAGCCGTTAATTTGAGCATGAAAGATTATGATAAAATAAAAGCAAAAATACAAGATGAAGACCAATTAAACATATTCAAGTTCACAAGAAGATAATACATCCTTCTCAATGCAATCAAGTGGCAGTATTCTGAACCAAATGTACTTAAAACTTTATTATTTCAGATACATGGGATCATATATCACTCCCTTCTGGCTATAATGAAATTTAGGTTAGAAGTTAAATTTAAAGAATCAAGTATTTTCTAATCATTTCACTTCAATTCACGATTAATTCAAAACCATAAGCGAGAAGAGGAATAAAATGATTTAGCATTAAATTACCGGAATTATACAATATTATTATCTCCATGAATCATTCTTATGCAGATTTACATCGCAGCGCTTCTTCGGAAGGAAGCGCAATTACGCCTGGGTCTTTAATATTGCAGGTCGAGACTCTAGAATAAATTTTTAGATAAGCAATGCATAGAACTTGCAGGTTTAATTTAACAGTGCCTAGAGAACCGCCAATGATTATCATTGATACGATGACAGTCGGTAGATTAAGGAAACATCAAGTTTTAATATTGAAACGGCAATCGACACCGAAAACAAATAAAAATAACAGAAATTTTTCTGCATAATTAAGAGTTTGCTCCCACTTGCTACTTCTGTCGAACTTGAGTCTTCTGTCGAATTCCCTCAGTAATCAGTTTATTGACAATTACTGATTAAATTAATGCCTCTTCGGTCATGTAGTCTTTCATTTGCATGAGAATGATGACAAAACCCAGGAGCGAGTACAGCACCTAGAGAGGGAGAAAATTGTTAAGTTTCTTACATCATGAAAAAATAAGACGTACCGGATACAAATTAATTGAATTTTTTAGACGTATAAATGATTGCCAATTAAATTTGATATTTAATGTAATGGCTCTGAGATAATAACATTAACATAATCTCCCCTCTAAAATTCAGACCAAATTTAAATTTCAGCTTAATTGCCTATTTTGGATCAAATCAGACGCACGAGTCATGCATAACGTACGAAGATTTCATGACTTAAATCAACGAATATAAACCGGGATTAGAAGATATTCAAAAATAAATAAAATAGCCTAATTATACGCAAGCATTCCGTCACAAAGGAGGACCGTCGTAAAGTGTACGCACCGCCCAGGGTGAAAGGAGCCAGCCTCAGCAACTGCTCTCTGACCCGCATCAACTAGTAAAAGATATACGGATTAAATTCTTAATCATATATTAAATAATATAAGATGACGTGGAAGGATAAAAAAATAAAGCTCGGTTAACATTTAAAATGTCATAAAAAATCCTCAATCTCGAAATTTTCGAAAAGTGAACATTTGGCTGCCTTGATATATATAATTACGCTAAAGAATTTTATTCCAAGGGGGCAAAAATACTGTAGCAATTAGTCACGAGTGAATAAAACTAGGGCGTAGAGTTGCTGTATAAGTGGTTTTATTTTTTAAACAAATTAATGTAACATAAACGCCATATAAGTACCATAGTAATCAAAAACGTCTTAGTAGTTATTTAATTAGGCAATACCGCATATAAATGAATTGTTATTAACAATTAACAGAAATTATATGGATTTGTTTCTAATTATTTCACCTAGCGATGCAGTCTTTCGTCTCTGACGAAAGTCTGCAGTTAACACCAGTTGCACAATAACACCATTGTTAGACACTGGTGTCTGACAATGGTGTTAAACTTAAACTTGAACTTAAACTTAGTGTTAACACCATTGCACAATACTTAACCTTGGAAGGAACCAAGAGAACGAAAATGCATGGTCGACCTCTCGGCATTTACCGAGTAACAATTTAATTTTACTGGCGTGCCACAGATTTGATAAAGTCACAAACAGGCACCTCGTAAGTCAGAATCCATACACTAATGTTGTGCATAACAAATGAAGACCAATTTTAATACAGCCAGAAAAGAATCTTATGTAGAAAATAGAACAGTAATGACGCACAATAGTCCGAAGCTACGGTGATTTATATTGCAGTAGCACGCCCACTTCTTCTTCCGCGTCGCACGTCAAGAAAGTAGGTTGGGAAATTTCCCCAACACTCGTCGAGCTTTGCCCAAGCAACCTCAACGGTTAGCGTCGGAGAGGGAGTATCAACAGGCGTCACATATATGTAGAGTTTCATATAAAGGAAATAATATATGTTCGTTTATTGTTGAATGATATTGATCTCATTATTATGTTGATCTCTCATTTATTATTATTGAATGATGTTGATCTCATTCACCCGGAAAGTTATTGTTAATGCGAACGCACGCTCATGATTTGTTCCTTCTATTGCATTAAAAATTCTAGATTCGATGGTAGACCCTGGCAAAAAGGGTTCTTAATTTAAATTGCTAATTTGTATACTGATGTGGATAGTTATGCTATATTCTGAGCGACTCGCTACCATGAGTGCGTTCTCTAATATGTGACCTGAATTACCATGTATGGAATTTCAGCTCCGCGACCGAGTGGACGCTGCGGTCGCCGATCCTTTTTTATTTATGTATTTTTCCATGTTTTCTTTGTAAGGGTCTTTGAATTATTATTGCCTCTCGGGGTTTTCACTTATGTCATTTGAATTACTCAAACTCAAAAACTAATGAGTAATAATGAAGATTGGCGCTATTGAATGAGCGAGATATTCTTTACTTACCGAGATGTCAATAAATAACATGCGAACTATGGTTAATGAAACAAGTGAGAGTAACCATAATAAAAGTTTATTTCGTCAATTAATTACAAATGATTCAATACAACAGAATTTGCGCTTTCTTCAGTTAATACCATCGATGTTAATTTTCATCCATGAAGTTTCTATTTTATTGAAGTCAATCAAATAAATTCTCATCACACAGAAGTTGTAGATCGGACAGCCAGGCTGCGGCTTCGATCGTTTTGTCCCTGCAATGCATTCGTCTTGTGATCGTTATTATAATTTGGTATATCTTTGCAGTTTAATGAAATGGAAAATGCCTTCGGGAGTTGACTTTACTAGTGCAGGTGTTGCGGTGTGAAGTGAGGTAGTTCTTCTTACTAATGGACGTGTTCGTGCGCAGCTAGTTTGATACTCAATTGCTTGCCTTTTGGGCTGCACGTCCGGTAAATCCTCAGACTCGATTTTTCTTTTCATTGATGAGTTTTGGGTCATCGCTGGCTGCTGTCTTTGGCGTTTTACCCCAAAAAACTTCCTTTGACGCTTGATTATATTACTTCGTCTCAGCTCTGTCATTCTATCAGGACCCATTAT